GTGATTGGCCAAGCAGTGATTTAAATAATGTAGTTTCTATGTGATTATTTTGGGAGTCTGGTCAGCTGGGGAAACAAGCAAGCGGCCTCCCTTCCTGCTACACTCTCTTCTAGTTAACTTTCAAAGTGCGAGAAGATTCGATAATGGCAGGTGGAAGAGAAAAGGCATTAATGGTCTCACCCAGCTGCAAACCCTGTGAATTATAAAACTCACCTTCCGGGCATGATGTGCTCATATAGAATAGAGTAGCCCAAGCTCTGAGACCCGACCTGCAGACGGAATCCCACGAGGAGTACGGAAACCTGCAAACGCAGTCAACAGCCCATGCACAAAAGTTTCCCCTGATTGTCTGTGTTTACACCCATAGATAAAAGCTGCTCTCAGCCCTAACCAGTGAGTCTTCCTTTTCCATGAATGGTAGTCAATGTAGAGACTGTCACTATCCAAGACACTGAGAATAAAGGGTTGTTGAGGATTCAGCCCTCAATATGATAGGCTAAGGTTCAGAGGACACTGGGAAATATTGGGTAGAAGGAATATGAGAGCTAGGATATATGGAGATAATAATTTCAAAGTGCTGTCATCCAGGCACAACACGACCATTGCAATCACAAACCCACACAGCGTAGAGATAGCTTCATTGTTTCCGTGTGTGGCTGTGTACGTGGAAGGGTCTTTCCGTTCCCAGAGTTCTCATTGGCTGCTTTACATATTTGTGGTGCACTCTGGGACAGCCCGCACGTTTCCTTCCCGTGTGGTAGAGGCACTGGACACCCCATCTTCCTTTGCGCTTGTGAACTGGCACCGCAAGGGAGGTGCAGTTCCTGGGAAAGGTGGGCGTGGGCGAGCCATGCATGCCTTCGGATAGCGACTCTGCCAGATTGCAGCTGAAGCTATCCTCAAACACTAGAGTAGACTGATTTTTGCTAAGAGAGGTAGGAAAAACAAAATTCCTAAGTATCCTCTGAAAGATTACGAAACACAGACGAACTGAGGATTTATATTTAGAATTCCGGTTACCTTGATGCATGCAGTATCATGAGATTAAAGACACGTGATGTCATGCTTAGAATACTCAGTTTTCAAGTCATCTTGGCTACCGTGTCCTGATAGAATTTTACTGACACTCATCCGCTTGTGAATCCCAAGCTTATATTAGCGAATGAGAGAGCAGGAAGGCATCCTAAGGACTAACATTGTTACAGTGACTCAAAGGGGAAAAGCTGTGATGATACGGTAGTCTACAGTCCAAATCCTGCTGGGTATTTCCTTATTTTTAGGCAATTTACTTTAATTGCAATTAGTATAGTTAAAGGTACTTTACCAGGTATGTCTAATTTTGTTTTTCGATATGCATTACCTGTCATTAGTTTTTAGCTTCAGCTTCTTAGAATGATCTGTTATGATTGCCCGTGTTTCCAACGGTCACTTTCTCAGAATGTTGGACTTGCTATGCAGCCTTATATTCAGAAGCCAAATAGGCATGAAGATGAGTGGGGCGAGCCTCTCAGAGCTGTTCTCTGTATCCCCGTCAGCATCAGCACACCCGAGTACCCCATGCTGCTCTCACGCTCCTTTGGACTAAAGTGGCTTCCTTTGCCCCTCTGAGCCGTGACTTCTCACCAGCTTTCTGACAGAAGAGGGAGCGGCTGCTTGACATTTCTCTCAAGTTGAGCATTCTGGGGTCAAACGGTGCCTTAATTTTGCATTCTATGCCGTGACAATCCCAGATCATTTTAGTGTAACAGGAAGCATTTCGATTTATAAGCCACTAAGAAAATAAATTCTCTAGACTTCACTTTCTCTTCTTCCTCCAAAAGCCCTGTCTGAAGAGGATAGAATGAAAACATTCTTTGAAATGCCTCATTGGTTGTGCCTTAACTGTATATTCTACAAGACTCTTTTGCCTGAGACAGTTTGGAGGAGATGCTCCAAGGACAGAGATGTTGGAAGGAAGGAGATCTGGTCTGAGCTGGTTGTTGTTTGTGACGGGGTGGAGAAAGGCGCAGCCAGCTGGTTAGGGGAAATGGCTGAGCCCCAAATCGGAGAAATCACCTAAGAGACTTGCCTGAATGGGGGTCCTTAGCAGGACACATCAGCTCTGTACAGTTTTCTAGAATAAGAAACTGAATTTCTCTTCTGCCTCTGATGTCTCACATGGGAAGATCCAAAGGGAAAAAGTCAGTGTGTGCTTCCTTGAGCCACAGAACAGAAACCCTAATCCTAGCTTCTTGAAACAATGAAACCCAAGCTTCACTAGCTAGTCATTTAATAATTGTTTGTTTTCTTCTGCCAGTGCCTGTCATCGCCTGGGCTGTCGGGAGATGATGGGGGTCTGTCCTTGTCCACTGGTACAAACTGTTTTCCCCGACTGGCCATTGTTTTCTAGAGAGACTGGCTTCTGTTCACCAGAGCTGGCACAGGCTGGCCCTCAGGCTTGGATGCCACTTCGCAGAACCGGTGCCTTGGCAGTGGGCTGATTAAAATGCGTGTCATAAGCCGCTGTGGGAATGGGCGTGAGAGCGTGTTTGGCATTCACACCACCGAGACCGATAGCTGTGTGTGCTTCATTTTTCTCTTATGTGACTGCAAAGTGTGCCAGCTTGCTTTAAAAATGTCTGATGATCGTTTCGAGTCTGAGCCTAAAGGGTTGTAAGCAAAACTGGAAATAATCTCACATGCAGTCGCATCGTTAATAAAGCGTGTTTATAAAGGGATTTTTCCAGTTTTAAAAAACGCTATCCGTATACACCGCTTTGCAAAACAGTCGCTTGCAGGTGCATTTTAAGTATGCCCCTCAAGTCTCTATTGCGAGATAGTTGCGAGTTATTTATGGAGGCCATAGGGGAGCCTAACTGCTTTTGAGATCATTTTATAGCAGTTTATTGGTGATCATTAAATCGCAAACAGCTTTTCAACCTGGGTTCTTCAATCTTCGAGCTGCCAGGAAGGCCCCAAGTCATTCTCAGTTCCTTCGCAGGACATAAAAGCCCACAGTGCATTTGGTGGGAGGCTCTCTGACAGGGCCCCCACCTGGGTCTTCTCGCTGTATCCTGCATCCCTGGCCCCTCGTCCCCTCTGTAGATTCTGTTAGTGCCCCGTGGGCGGTCATGTTCTTCTGTCTCTGTTGTGGCGTGGACAGCCGTTGAACAGGTGGCTTCACTGTGTGATTGTGTAAACAGAAGAGTGTATGATTTGTGCTCGAAAGAGGCCGTACCTTGTAGTGGCAATGACCACAGACCTTTGAACAAGCTGTAGATCCACCACCGAGGGGCTGCGTGACTCTGGAAAAGGTGGTCCCTCTGGCGCTGTCTTATAATAGGTAATCTGGAGTTCATGAAAATATCTGTCACCTGGAGTGTGTGACAACTGAGTGATTCTGCCCAGAATAGAATATTCCCTGCACAGAGTAGGCCCTTTGTGTGTTCTGTTATCTTTACTTAATAATTGCATTTTACCGGTTTTATAAGTGGCTTCAATATTCAGGGTCTTGGGGGCAGGGGTGCTTTGTCCAGCATTCTGTTAAGAGAATTACCCAGTTCCAGGAATGTTGTGAATATGTTCCCCTCAGGGAATGAGTCTCTGACTGTGTGGGAAGGGGCACGGGGCCTGGAGGGAAAGACAAGACTTTGGGTGGCTGTGACCTTGTGCCCGAATGGAAGCTCACCACACTCAGACTCCCTTCTCCTCACACGGAGGTCTCATCTCCACAGCCTCCGAGTTTGCTTCTAAAACCCTAGGCCATGGTTTGGGCAACTGAAGGCAGTCCATTTTAACACAAACGGTACTCACAGGGCAGCCGGTTCATATGAGAGGTTGAGGGGGAGCTTAACTGTCTCTACAACGGGTTAGGATCAGCAACTAATTTTATGGGTTTTGAGAAAATAAATATTCTAAGGCATTTTCTTAGCAGGTAGTCTATACACTTTAAGAAGATGACATTCATAAAATTAAAGAAAGGTTGCTTTTCATCGCGGATTGCTTGCTCTAATAGGCTATTATCCCCTCTCTGAGTGAGCCCGAGCTGGATAGAATGCTCCAGCAGTCATTACTGCCCCCACACTCTCCCATATCATCCCTCACCATTCCGGGGTCGCGCTTGCCTATGCTGCTGTGGGAAAGGGAGGAGAAGGGGGAGGTTACTTCCTCTTTGATCTGTGCACCACAGAAACACACTCCCTCTTCTGCACACTTCTGTAGCCCTTCAGGCCCTGAGCCGATAGGGGGCATCCACTTAAACACTGTAATAATAAACTCATTTCAAAAAATAAAAGTGTAGGTCCTGCTTTCTTCTGACACATTGACGCAAATGGCAGCCAGCGTGTCCCAGAAACCTCTCCGTGCTTTTTATTTTGATGGACGTGCGGTGCCTTGAGAAACGTCTGTCCCTTACCAGACGGAAACATTGCCCTCAGTATGCAGAAGCGCACAGAAGGGATGTGTGTAGGTCACAAGACACCAACAGGAGCTGGCAGCGATAACCCGATCGGTTAAAAGCCAGCCCAGCAGGCACGAGACTGCGTGCGTGCGTGCCTATGTGCGTGCGTGTGTGCGTGCGTTCCATCGCGGGATGCTTCGCTTTGTGCTGTTTAATCTGACAAGCCAGTTTGCTTTTCAGTTTTATGGAAGAACATCTCTCTTCATCTTCTCCTAGAAATCTTGGCCTGACTAGGCAGGAACTTTAAAGGTGAGCAAAGTCTCCGACTATGGTTGGAAGGTTCAAGGGCCCTCTGTGTCCACACGAAGTCTCCCCTACAGGAATCCCAAGGAGCAGCCAATGAAAGGGAGCTGGGGGGGCGGGTTAGGTTTGAGATTCTAGAACCCAAGAGCCAATCCCTCCAATCACGGTGGAAAATAAACGCGGATATAACCCTGGAGAAAGAAGCGCAAAGGTCTGGGTCTCTTGCGTCCTTCGCCAGCATCCCGACAAGAAAGGGAGCAGCGTTGCTCCATGAGCCCGGTCCCTAACCTTCTTCTTCTCTGTGTCCACCTGTCTGCAGGGACAAGGAGACTTGCTGAAGAATGCCAAGAACGAGGCTATAGAGAACATGAAGCAGATCCAGCTGGCCTGTTTGTCCTGTGGCCTGAGTAAAGGCCCTGGCGCTGGCCCCGAGGCCAAGGGCAAGCGCAGCCTGGAAGCCATAGAGGAGAAGGAGAGCGGCGAGGAGAACGGGAAGCTGTGACCGAGGCCGGGCGCATGCGCACCACAAGGACTCCGCTGTCTCATTCTTGCCTTTTCGTTTTGTTTTTACGTTCTTCAGACGTTCACAGAGATGATGCCCTCCATGGGGTGCTGTACATAAACATATATTTTCACAGTGCCAGCATTTTTCTGTAGTTAATTTATCTAAGCTAAAATTGTTCGTAGCACTGTTGTAAACGCTGAGCTGTATGAGTAGACCCGTGTGTGTGGCTGCCTGTGTGCACGTGAGTGTGTGCGCGCGTGTGTGTGCACGTGAGTGTGTGCGTGCTTACGTGCGTGTGTGTGAGTATATCTATGTGTGACTGTCTGCGCATGTGCACATGCGTGCATGCGTGTGTGTGCCTATGTGTGGCTGCTTGTGCGCATGTGCACGTGTGTGTGTGTGTGTACCTATGTGTGGCTGCCTTGCACACGTGCGTGTGTGCGTGCGTAAGAGAGAGAGAAGTTCTGTTAAAATATATTCTCTGTCGCAGTATTGGTTTTAGTAAGTTATTCTTTATGATCATCTGGAGACAGTTGATAATCTAAAATAATAGTGAGCACTTAGTGTAACCCATCGCTCTGGTTAGTTTTAGCTCTGTCTTTGAGATTTAATTAATTTGGGGATTTTAGCACAGCTTATTACTGAAGAAAGCCAAATGTATCAAAGCAAGGATGTTTTTATAGATTTTAAATAGAGATTTTAAAATGGCAGTAGAAATTAAAGCGGATGAATCAATTTTCAAATCAGAATTCTGGGCAGACGAATTCACTTCTTCGTTCAGCAAAGTCTTTAAAATATTTATTAAATGAAATCGAATTTAGGATTTAGTCTCTGTAGATGTTTACTAAGCATGTGGCTTTGGTTGAAAAGCTGACCACAGCGAATCGGTAGCCACCAGGCGGGACTCTGAGACGCACCCAGTGTCTGCGGTGATGGGACCGTTGAAGGGACAGTAATGGAGTCAGGTGTGATATTTCCAGGTTTGCCGGGCGGGAGTGCGGCGTTCATTCGCTGTGACTGGAAGCGGGCAGATGCGCGTGTTTGGACAGGATTGGATTGAGTATCGGGTACTAAATTTAAATATAAAGACATTGTGCAAACAGTATCCTTTTGTCATGTTGAGCGGACATAAATTCTGTAAGTCAGACATCATCTTTATGATGATGTGATAGCTAATTCAATGGCATGCATGGGATAATCGTAACGCATACAGTAAAATTCATAAAGAAGGAAGTGGCTGATGAGGGTGCATTTATAATTATATCTAGATAATTTCACCCTAATGTCTTCATAAACCTCTTAAATGTAATGTTCATTCATCACCACCAACAGAACTAGATGTTCTATGGTTATGAAAGAATATATTTATTTAAAACATTGCTTTTATTTTGAAAAGCTTCTTAATTAATTTGATTGACAAATATGCTAATTTGGGGGAGCCTAGAGAAGATAATTGTTGAAATTTTGCAAATATGAACATCCTCTATAGCTACTGTGTTATTTCTGACTTCTTAATACTACTATGTTCTTGTCGCACATTGCCGAAAGAGTAAAGATATCAAAACATGGATTTTTTTTTGTTCTCCTTTTTTGTGACTTTATTGAAAACGTGAAGGTCTTGTTACGTGAAAATGTTAGCAGGTATATACTGTTTCCACAGACCAGTCATGATAAAATCTCTCACTGGGCTGAAACCAGGCACTTGGGGAGGTGGCTGGGTTCATCTGAGGACCAAGTTCTAAGAGTGCTGTGGCCGCCTGAAAGAATCTCTCTGCTGTCCACACTTGACCTGCTGTGAGAGGGATCAGAGGGAGAGCCGTGTGATTCTGTACGATGAAAGATAAATACTACCGACAGAGACGGGATCAGCCAGCTGGACCTTGCTCGGCGTCTCCAATCCTGTTTGGATCAATCCATGCCTTGCAGGTAATAAAGTTGGGTGGCAAAAACATAGAATACTTATATTTTCTTTGCTTTGCTTTGGGGGATCAAACCTAGTTCATCCCGTTCATCCCCAAGCTCCATTCATACTTAGCATCTGTCTCCGTCTTCCTGAGAACATGCTGGCGATTCTGTGACCGTGATATTCATAGGGCCATTGTCAACACCTTTTTATCCATTCTCTGGGGACCTCTGCTAGTGAGGAAGTAGGGCACAGTTCAGGAAGGAACGTTCTAGCTGCCAAGAGGATGATGCCCTTGTGGCAGTAGACCGAAATGCATGGGGACACACAAGCTTTGTGGGTATTCACGCGGCACATTTTCTACCGTGTACAAATGTCTGTCTCCATCGTAGCCTTGAAGCGCCATACAGAAAACCACTTTACCTGTAGTATTAGGACAAATATTTAGAATGCAGCTCCAGGATTATATTGGGGCAGTAACATGGCAGTTGAATGTTCTCCTTCCAGATCTGTGACATCACTAGCCCTACCTGGGTATTTAGCCAGGTTTCCAGGACCAGGCATGGTTTCCCTCATGTCGAATGGGTATTAAGCCCTGTCGAGAGCTGATGGCTGCTTCTAATCATGCTATGGTGGTCACTGTGGCTCATATGCATCATAGCTGGTTAGGACTGATGGGTTAGCCCCTCCTGTGGAAGCTTGCATGACTCCTTCTAGTCAATGAAAGCTAGTCCTCATGGAGGAAGGAGGTGTTTAGGTCTATCCAAGCTCAGGGGTATTGGGCCCTGGGTCTGACGTGAATGGTGTTTTCACCAATGGGTACTTACCTTCCACCTCTGTGGGGGCAACCACAGCCAATAGAAACAACTTGTGTTTGGGGGAATCTCTTGATTCACAAGAGAGCTTCTTCTCGCGCCTGGTGTTGGGGCTTTTGTTAGATGGTCTTTGGTTCTTGGAGCATTGCCAGGCAAGATGGGAAAATTTCATTTCAACTATGTATGTATGTGTTTATATGGAAATGCATGTGTTGTTGGTATTTTTAGGCAGAGGGTAGATAGTATGATTCTGTATGACTTTTCCAGACGTCGTTACTGTTATTTTGTTCTCCTTCCGTGTTTATCTCTGTTTCCCCTCCCTAATGAGAACCTCCCGTTTCTCCACTTCCTCATCAGATGGATCATACCCTGCTCTTTCCCTCCCCGCCGCTCCCCAGCCTTCAACGGTGCCCTTTTCTGTCCTTGGTTTCAGGGTGTTCTCAAGAGAGGAAGAAATAAGTTACATTATTTATAAATATCTCAGGAATTAAAGGAGAATTAGGATAAAAATGGAAGTTATTTTTGAGTGTAAGTTAAAATTAATTTAATTCAGAAATGACTTCTAGTTTTCAGCCATGGAATTATCAGAAAGAAAAAGATGAAACCGGCGAAAGAGGGACATCATTGAGCAGGACAAACCAGCGAAACCCGAAGTTGGTTCTCTGGAAAAGACCAATAGGATTATAAGTGTCTTACCAGAGATGAGGGGAAAACGAGAAGGCGCAAATTACCAATGCTGAGCGAGAAAGAGGCATCATATTAGATTATACTAATATGAGGGGGATAATAAAGGCTGGGTTATGAAGACTCGGTGCCAATAAATTCTACAGCTACAACAGGACAGAGCAAACTCCTTGAACGACACAGAATACCAAATCTGAAAGTAATTAAGAATCAAGAAACCAGAGTCGAATTACACATCGCAGGTCTTCTCCGTTTTCAGAAACGCGATGTAATGAAGAGTGACAGAAAACCAGTCCATCCATCAGTGGTTGCCGGGGAACAGCTAAGGGCAGCGAGGGAGCTGAGCTCAGCCCTAGGACGGCTGAGGGCTGATCAAGGCGTTTCTAACCTCCACTTGGGGATAATTTTATATTGCCATATTTACACGAAAGCTTCAACGGTATACTTTATACACGCAGAGTTTACTGCAGGGAGCTTTACGTCAGCACAGCTCTTTAAATGCATAGGAAAGCTATGTGTTGGTAACACATTTCCATTCATGAGCAATCATTTCCCCTGCCTGTACCTTTGCAGTTTCTTTGACGTTGGAGATGCTGCCTCTGTAGCGCTGAGGTTTTCTTCTATCTGGGAACCAGTGCATGTAGAGAGTTAGGCATTTAATGTCTGCATAAGCTTTCTCTTTTGTATCGCAGCCTTGTTATTTTTGCATCTGCACACAGTTGTGTGTGGAGACTCGTGTGCTCCTGCTCAGCCGTCCTGATCTTGGGAACAGCAGTCCACGGTCTCATCAGCACCACACAGCACCGTACGTACCCTTTCCCCGCTTCCTCCTCTCCCCTGACGTTGTTCATCTTTCTCTGTGCCCTAGGAGAGTTTCTTATGCTCTTCTTTGAGACAGAAGTTCAATTAAATCTGTCGATTCTGATTTTAAATGTTTGGTCACGGTTTCATTTCGTGGCGTTTCTTTTACACCCTGTGTTTTGCTGTTTACTCTTGAAGTATTGCTGGCAGCATTTTTAGCATGTAACTCTTTTGTGTGTCTTCTCCATAATCTGGTGCTGGACCGAATGCAAAATTAAATCACAAAACAGTCCCACAGAGTCACCTTCTTATCCTTATTTTAGAAGAGGGAACTGAGCCTCAAAGAGCATTTGGGCTCGGGATTACTGTGTAACAAGCCATCTCCAAACCCCAAGCCCATTTATTTTATTCACAAGTATGCTGTAGAACTCCTACTTAGGTAGAAACTCAGCAGGGTTCTCAGGTGACTGTCCTGACAGCAGGTGGAATTGTTTTAAGGTTAGAGACAGAAACCACCCAGAGACTTCTATCTCAGCCACGGCTGGTGGTGGATTCCAGGAAACCGAAATCCCCTCTAGTCAACATGGGACCTTTTCTATCACGTTATATCCACTGAAGCAGCCCCAGAATGGACTCCACTTCTTTCAATCCTGATGCAGAATGGGAAGGTTCTGGAACAGCTTTGGAAACCAGAAATATCACTGTTAGCCACTTTTGGAACCTACTGTGCTCAATAGGCAAAGTAAGCTGTTTTCCTGAGGTTGCTTAATTGAAGTGGAGTTTATTCATAAAAGCAGGTTTTCTGTTTTATTGACTATAAACGAGATGCCATCTAATATTTTCTTAAATTCGAATTTTGACTTTCCATTCCTTTTGTGCTTCCTTGCGCTCTGGGGCGTGGCCTTGCATCCTGGCATATCCCTTCATATTACAATGTGTTTTCTCAAGATCCATTCTGCTTTGCGTCCCTGTGATGTCTTGTCAAAACCTGTTTGATGCGGATGTATCCACCGGGACTCACACAGTTCAAATATGCACCATCCCAACTTGTTCTGCGATGTCTCTGTTCACTGGAAAGAGAAGCTTTTTTGATGCGAAGTGGTAAACACACTCATCTGTGGGTATCAGGATAAGATTTAGAC